AGACTCATGAATCTCTAACCAGGATTATCACTGTGAAAAAAAAATTAATCAACTGACAATTTGATTGTTGATATGTGCTGCTGATTATTCATGCTACTGATCTCATGCTGCTGATTTATTTCATGCTGCTGATTTATTTCATGCTGCTTTATTTATTCACACTCATTTGCTCACACAAACTCATGTCCATGCTACTGTTGTTCAGTGTATTGTTTTTGTACTACTGGTGCTTAGCGTATTTCTTGGTTCAAATCTTAGATCTAACTACTGTTTTTCTTCACAATTTATACTTTTGTTGGATGTAACTGGAACCCTGTGTACACAGTTTTGTTCCACCTCATGTACTACATGTGATGAGAATGACAATAAAGACCCTTGACTTGACTTGACTTGACTTGACTTGACTTGACTGCTCTAGCCACTCTGCCATGGCCGCCCTATATTAAAATTTGTTACAAATTATTAAAGATTTATCAGTTGCCTCCTATAGTTATTTGGAAAGTTTATGAGCCTAAAATACAAAAACAGATGTTACAGACAGAAACATCTGTCTCAGTTCATGTCAGTTACAACCACATCAAATTTTAGGCCAATAACTGTAAATTAACTGGTATATATGGGCTAATGTTGATTAGCTGTGGCAGCCATGTTGAATTGAAATGGAACATTTAAATTTCTCCAAAGGTCAGTTTGATGTACATCTAGTTTCTGAAAGGTTTATTGAAATCCAGTGACAGTGGTTTATGAAACATTTTGGTAACAAACACACACACACACACACATATACACACACCTGCTTTCAAATATTGGCAGCGAGCAATAAGAAATGAAAAGTAAATAATCTCATATTTAGTTTGTAATAGAAAAAGTAAGTGAAAATTTCTTTATATTCCATAAATCTATATTTTCTTTAAAAAAAAAGTTAAAAAATATGCTTATTATTAATAACATCTGATTTGTTGAGTCGAAAGTGGAAACAGAAAATCCAAGTTTTGTTCTTTTAAGAGTGAAGGCCTAACAGGAAGTATTAACGGAAAACAAAATGTGACAATGTTCAGTCAGGTCATCTGGATGGTTTATTTTATTGCAGAGACATTTCATCCTTCATCCAAAGGACTTCTTCAATCTGACGAGCCACCAAACAAACTGATTCTCAAAAACATCATACTCCAAACAAAACCCTCATTGTTAGGAGGGAAAATGAGTTTTTATTTGTTTAATAACTGAAACACTCCAAATTATTAATAATTTCTTTATTATGTTTTCATCTACTAATCATTTTTTATGGAAATTGTTTGATCTTTGAAAGTAGTGAATGAAAAGATGCAGCTTTTTCTGTGAAAATAGATTTTCCTGCAGGAACTAAGCACCACATTTGATGTGCCGTTTTTACACCAGTGGGGAAGCAGTTCCAGAATATGCATCTAAAGAAGGAAGCTGTGTTACATGTTTCTGTCGGGGTTTGGAGCAGTAAAAACAGCAGGGCGTACAGATCTAAGGGCTCCATGTGGGACACATTCTGGCAGTGTATCAAAGTCAACAGCATGACTGCGACAGGAAGATTTATGGGTAAACTGGGATTTGAAAAAAAAAAAATAATGCAACAAAATCAAAATAAAAGAAACTGTAGGTATTTTGAACATTAGTTCTTTTTTACTACAATCTGTAGTGACTGATGTTAAAACAGCAGCAATGCAGTTTCATCCATCCATCCATCTTCTTGCTTCTTCTTGCCAGAGGATGCTGGTCCAGCAGTCTGGGTGGTGTGGGACACCCTGGACAGGTGTTGAATTTTTCAACGGAACACAGAGGTAAGCGAGTTAATCAGCCAACCTGCACACTGCAGGAAATTTTAGAATAAACCTAACATGCATGTTTTTGATCTGTGGGAGGAAACCAGAGTACCTGGAGGATATCTGTTGCTATGCCTCCCAAGAAATGCAGTTTAGAAATACATTTTTAAAAGGGCAGCTCAAATTATTTGAAGAGGGATTCTGTGGAATGGTTATGAATGATTGACATCTTACCAGATATTTCAGCACTTTGAATCACATCAGCTTAGAGAAGTGTGCATGGTTTGGTATGGGTTTGGTGCAAGAAGAAGGAGAAACTTTTTATTTATTTAATGCAGACAGACAGTAACCCTCTCAGAAGCAGAAAAAAAGACAAACCACCTTTTTTAGTAGTGAGAGTCTAAGGAAGCAGGTCATGAGCAACAAGATAGGATTTGTAAACTGGTAAATTCACTATGAAAGTTACACTTTATCATGTTTGATCCAGTTTGAACTGTAAATAGCAACCCACAGGCCAAGAGTCAAACAGAAGGTTTACTCAACTCTGAAAATATATCTCTTGAGAAAATGTTACTAAAAAGAAAACTGAAAATGAAATACTGAGTAAAAATAAGTATTTGCTTCAATAATTTGCCCCAGACCATCCACAAAATAAAAAAACACACAGAACAGAAATTCTCCTAATATTAAAAAATACAATAAAATATAAATGCCCAACCCTGTGATGGACTTGCAACCTGTCCAGGGTGTCCCCCACCTCTCGCACAGTGATAGCTGGACATGGGCACCAGTGACCCCCATGACCCAAAAAGGAAGAAGCAGGTAAAGATAATGGATGGATGGATGGATGGATGGATGGATGGATGGATAAATGCCCAAACTTCTTAGAAGACTGAGTGCCAGTCTGAAATAATTGTGCATAAACTTGAGGTTATTAAACACGTATATTATTGGTTTGTCAAAAAATGTTCAAAGCATTGATTACATGACACAACTGCTTGCCACGCTCGTCTCTTGCTGCAGCTGTCTGATCACCATGACCACTGGGTCGTTTTCAACACAGCTGATCTGAATCAAACTGGTCTTTGTTCCTCCACAGTATTCATGCTTAGAGCCACTGTTGGTGTAGAGTGGTTAGATGTTTTCTGTGCTCACTAGTGATCTACTGTGATTGACAATTTTCCATCCATCCATCCAGCCATCCATCCATTATCTTTACCTGCTTTTTCCTTTTCGGGTCACATGGTGCTCATATCCATCAGTCACTGCGAGAGGTGGGGGACACCCCGGACAGTTCTCCAGTCCATCACAGGGACACATAGAGACAAATGAGACAAACAACCATTCACTCTCTCACTCACACCTAGAGACAATTTAGTCACCAATGAGTCTAACATGCATGTTTTGGTCTGTGGGAGGAAACTGGAGCACCCAGAGAAAATCGACGTATGCACGGAGAGAACATGCAAACTCAAGAAAAGGCCCCCCATGGCTGCACCAAACCATCGTAGTATTGTAAGAAATTTGTGGGTGACACAGGCAGAAGGTCTTGGCTAGAATGTCTGAACCATCCAATAATCACCACACATATTAGGAGGTTAAGAAAATAAAGTTTTTTTTGTTAATTAATTTAATATTCCTAAAACAAGGGGTCAAAGGATCCAACTTAAACACAGAACTGTTCATCAAAAGCAATTAATGATCCAGATTCAACCAACATGCAGGTTAGGGGATTCATAAAACTTCCCCCTCCTAAAACCAAACCCTGATCCTCAACCCAAGAAAACAAACGGAGGCCTATAATAAAGTTAAAAGGAATTCACTCAGCTCGCACAGCCGGCAAGACTCCTACTGAGGGTCTGGGCTTGTGATCTCGCCCAACATCCTGGTAATTGACTTGGCTGGACGACGACCGGACCTCCTGGATTGGCTCCACACCAGATCAGAGCAGCCAACAAGAACAGCAGCCCACAGGAACAGGAGCAGAACAAGATGGTGACTGCACCCAAGCCCTGACTGTCTAAAGGAGGCACCGAGGCTTCCCTCCTGACACAGGAAGATCTAACCACCTTTTCATCGCGGGCAGTCCTAAATGACTGCAAATGATACTTGCCCACCCCCCACCCCCCCACCCCCCCACGGTTCCAAAAGGGTCAGTTTGTTTGAGAGACCTTTAGAAGACCTGTCTTAACTCTTTTGGATGTATGGAAGATGGAACATGCATCAGGACATTTATTCAGTGATTGCACACACCTGTCCTGATTATTCTCTTTCTCCTCTGATGAGTCTTGCCCAAGCGCATCACAGTATGAATGCATGCACCATTACAGGTTTCTGCCTAAATAATCCTGAAATATGAAATGAAAGTAATTTAACGGTAAAAAAAAAAAAAAAAGGAATCTTTTCAGATTAGAGCTGTTATATAGGTGGCAGATCTTTTCCCCTCTAGCTCATTATGTCTGATCAGAATTAAACGTTGTTTCTTTTAACGAAGATCGTTCAAAAGCTATCCTCAACAGGTAAGATACTAATTGTTCAAATCTGTTCTTTAAAACCCCGCTTTAAAATGATCAGAACTGTTTTAAACAGTTTAGTGGACACAGCTTGAATGTGTCATGGTGGTGATTTTTGTTCTGCTCTGTTTGCCAACATGCGTCTTTGTTTTTGGATAAGAAAAAATAATCTTTAACACATTAAGACAAAAGCTTTTTCTTCATTGATAAAGGAGTGCAGATGGTGGTAAGAGACAGCATATTGTTCCTTTACATAACTCTTTTACAAGGAAGTCCAATTATGGTGTTTCTTTTTCATGATCAGCTCCTTCTGACACTATTTAGTTTTTGACAACAGCCTGAAACAGAAAACACCTATCACGTGCACAACTGATGCAACCACTATGAGGTTTCATCTAAGAGATTGTTTTAAAAAAAAATGTCAAGAAGAATTAAAGAAACAAGACATTTACAACAGTTAGTGTGAGATGAGCTCCAAAATGTTCCCCTTTCTCTCCTCCCCTTGTTGCGCGTGTCTGGGTGCGCGCGAAACAGTTTTAGGATGAATATCATGGGAAGGTCTCACCACCTTCTCATTGGCTCAGGAGTCAGAGAGACCCCGTCATATAAAGCGGGAGTGTCTGATCCAGAAAGCCCCCCCTTCCCGCTGGCGCGCGCTAAGGACCAGCGCAGGAACGCTCCGGTGTTTTACGCACGGAGCGCTTGGAGAGGCTGAGACCAGCACGTTCCGTTTCTCTGAGAGGGAAAGAGGAGTTTAAAATCCAACAGGTGGGTTCATCTGACTCCAGGAGTCCACTTCTGGGCGAAAAAGTTGTTTTTATTAAAACATTACTTATTATTATTATTATTATTTTTATTTTATTTTATTTTTTTTTTTTTGGGGGGGGGAAGTATTTTGTCTCGCAATCAAATCGCATTTATTTTGGATTTATGTCTGTCTTGTTTAATAGTTTGTAGTGCTGCCATGTTTTGAAGTTTAATTGAATGGTTTTTTTTTTTCAAATTATGTTTAAAAGTTTTGTATTTGGGAACAAAAGTAGCCACTTTTTGTAATAGTTATTTATGATTCATCTATTTATCCCACATTAATAGCTTCCTGCTTCTAAGGGGCGGGGGGTGGGGGTGTAGTTGTTTATGAAACTGTTGTAATGATAGTTCACTAACCTCCTCAATAAAATGTGATTCTGTTTGTTAACATGTTGTCTCCTCTTCGTGCATCACTTTCCTGTTGATAGATAAACTGTCAGCTGGGGGTGTCTGAGTGGGCATGTGGTTACTGGAGAAGCTCCGCAGCAGTGGGACACATTCCCACCCCCCGCAGACAGTCGAGGCCATCCCAGTCTCTGTTTACGCCAACGTACTAACTCCAGAAAGGATCCCGGATTTCTTCATCCCACCCAAACTCATCTGCTGCCCACCGGAGGAGTCCTCCAGCCCAGAGGCTAAGCACTGCCCCCCTCTGAGACCCTCCTCCTCCGACCACGCCATCTGCAGTCAGAGCCCCAGGGCTCGGAGCAGCAAGAACCCCTGCAGCCCCCGCCTCTTCTCCCGCAACCTCCAGAAGTCTGCCAACCGTCACATCATCCAGATAGAGAGTGCTGATGAGCCTGGCTCGGGGGCCACGGGCAGGCTGGGTGCCAATGTGAACACCAACGCTGACCCCCAGTCCCAGACTGCCATGTCCCTGCCTTACGTCCCCAAAGCCCAGACCTCGTATGGCTTCTCCACCCTGATGGAGTCTCCCCACACCCGCCGTAAGGAAAGCCTGTTCCACAGTGACCCCAGCAGCCCCCTCACCTCCCCGAACTCCCAGAGGCGTTCTCAAGGGGGGACTCTGCTGGCCCCGGCCGACCCCAACCCCTACCGCTACTTCAGCGGCGGAGAAAGCGACACATGCTCTTCAGCTGAATCTTCCCCTTTTAACTCCCCCCTGCTGTCCCGATCTGCCTCCCTCCTTCGCTCCATCACACAGGAGACACAGGCCAAGGTGAGGCCTTCCATGTGCTCTGACTCCAACTTCAGAGATTCTTGCTTGAAGGTACCTCATCTTTGTTCTTTCCTTCTCTCAGGTGTCTCGTGCTAAGCGCTCCTTGGCTCGCCACAGTTCTCTCTCCACGGACGAGTGCAGCTCGGCAGACAACAGCCCCAACGCGCAGCGGCGTCGCACGCGCTGCCCACCCTCCCCCGCCTTCCGCGGGCGCAAACCCGGCGGCTCCAGGAGCGCCGCGTCGGATCCCCTGCAGCGTGAGCACACCGTCAACCTCCACAAGGGGGGGACGCTGAGACTGAGCACCCACTACGACCCGGAGGCCGCGCGGCTGAGGGTGCGCGTGCTCGCAGCCGAGGCCCTGTACGACAGGCAGACGGACCTGAAAAGCATCAACTGCTGCGTGGCGCTCTACCTGAACCCCGGGAAGCAGCAGAAGCAGCGGAGCACCATCATCAAGAACAGCAGGAACCCGGTGTTCAACGAGGACTTCTTTTTCGATGCGGTGCCTCAGGCGCAAGTGAAGAGTCTGGCCATGAAGATAAAGGTTGTGAACAAAGGAACGAGTCTGAAGAGAGACGTCCTTCTTGGAGAGAGGGAGGTGCTGCTCAGCAAGCTGCTCGCAGGCCTCTAGGGAGCCCCTGTCAAACGAGTACAGCTCAGAGAAAGGGGGCCCCTCCTCTCTGCTGACCTTTTCATCCCCACTGCACCCATCTGACAACAGGAAGCATACTGATGAAAAGGTGTACTGTGCTCACTGCGCTGTGTGTCAGTTGAGTTCATCAGGTTATTGCTTAGTTAGTCGGACGAAACTGAGGAAAAACCAACAAAGTTTGAGTGTTTATCGGTAAATTAGCAAACGAATGACAGATCTGTGTTCGTCTTGTTTCTATCAATCAACAGATTGGATGTTTTCGTCTCGTCAGCTGTTTTGCTAAAACGATCCTGTTTAACGTGAAGCCGTATTTTTGTATAAAATCCTCACGTCGTGCGTGGAGTTTTGCATGCAGCTGTGAATTTCTGCGTGCACGGAAGACTTATTTTGTGGGAACAGTTTGTGCAATGTTTTGTTAATATGACAGATGTAATGATTGTTTCGGAACATGTAAATAAAGAACAGGACACATCTCTGCTAATGCCCTTTATTTAATCACACCTTTTGTCTCTGTGGGTTTGTCTTTCAAACGATTTCTGGAAATAATTATCTTTGTCGCTTCCTCCATTCTGTCTGAGTTGTTTGAGAACGAGAAAGGCAGAGAGTCATTTCTGGTTGTCTGCATGCAATATTGTCTCTGTGAGTATTCAAACTCCCTGTTTAATTTGAACGCCACACATCCAGTGGATGCTGTCCTCCAGTGAATTTCAAACAGTTATTGAGGATGACAGGAAGTCAAGTTATAGCTCCTCTCACCATCTGCTCGGTATAGTCATTATGAGTTTAGTAGGGTTGGTTAATGAAACTGTTTTCTCCATTACAAAGGATGTACAGACAGAAGCTTGCAGGCAATAATAAAGAACTTCATCCTAAAGTTGATCTTATGCCTCCTCTGCTGGTACAAATCAGAATGACACGTTGGAAAACCCAAAAGTAAAGCATTAAAATAATTTATTTTTATTTAAATAAGGAGTGCATAATGGTATTTTTAAATTTAGAAGACATCATCCTCTCAGGATGGGGATAACATTTTTAAAAAGAAAAGGAAAACATCAGTTTCTGAACATGTTCAGGCTTTCCAACTCTTGCATTTCATTTATCAATCAACCTTTATTTATACAGGTAAATCCCATTGAGCCTCGAGGACTCATTTACAAGAGAGACCTGTTTTCAACAAAGAAAGATGACAACAATGGGCAACAGCAACAACAATAAACAGTTATAAAAAAGCATACTACAGGGTTTTTTTTATTTTTATTTTTTTTTAACAAATAGGATGGCTAAAAGGAAAAGGTAACAAAAAAAACAGCTACATTCCAAGACAAATGTAGAAAACTAAAAACAGGAACATGTCAGCATTGGACCCTGCCAGGTGTCCAACAGATTCTTAAAGACACTTAGAGAGGTCAAGGTCGAGAGCTTCAAATCTTTTTGTAAGATATTCCAGGAAACAGGAGCGGAGTAGGAGAAGACCCTTTTGCCTAGTTCAGTCCTCATTGAGGGAACACTGCAGGTAATAATGTCCTGAGAGCGCACTCCGTAGCTACACTCACACAAAGACATGTAGGAGGAGATGTATGAAGGCAGCAGACCTAGAAGTGATTTAAAGAAAAAATATACCAGTGAGAGAGTCTGCGTGAAGTTAATGATGTCCAGTTAACCAGTGAATACAGGGTGCAGTGGTGGGTACGATAATCACAGCCAGTTATGAATCTTAGTGCACCATGATAGACGGCATCCAACATCTGCAGGGTTCTTGTAGGAGCATTCATGTCAATAATATCACCAAAATCAATTGAAGGAAGGAAAGTCACAGATACAAGGCGTTTTGTAGCATTCAGGGTTAGACAGGATTTGTTTCAGGATTTATTTATACAGGTTAGTCTCATTGGGCCTCGAGGACTCATTTACAACAGAGACCTGTTTGAAGTAACTCTCAGCAAAGCAGCACCCATCTGGGACACGCTCGTCTGATTCCAACGAGGAACCGTTTCTTGCAGATTCAAGAGCGAAGAAATGAAGTTGGGATTTTATTTTATTTATTTATTTGCTTCTGCAGGCAGATCACAGCTTTTATTGGCAAACTAATAAAAAGTGACAATTTAACTGAAGTCTCACACTTCATGGACTTAGAAAACTGTATTAAAAACAGCTGAATTAGTCATTAAAAAACATGTACATTTTTTACTATTAGTTATTCAAAAAAGGTTTCTGAGCATTTTTTTTTTTTTTTTTTTTTCATTCAGTTCTGTTTAAATGTGACAAAAAGTGAATTCAGTTTATTTATATTGCCGTCACGTCACGACAGAAGTCATCTCAGGGCACTGAACAGAAACATTCATATATATTAAAACAAGTGAACAAATGAATGAAGATATATTTCTGGGGAGAAACTGTGTTAAGAACTGTTTCATCAAAACCCTTGAATCAGAATTTGACTGATATTTTTACACTTAAACGATTCTTCTTAGACGTTAAAGACCTTGCATCACTTAAAGAAACTTTTGTGCGATTGTATAATTATTATAATAATTACAAATACTAATATGCTTCATAATAATAATAATGAACTTCGTTGTTATTATCATCCCTATTTTAAAAGTTATTATTTCATCTAAATGTTAAATTTAGTGTGTCAGCTGACATTCAGTCTACCCGAGACAACCTGTTTAAACCACAACAAACGAACCCATCGAGCCGGTAGGAGTTACCTCAAATGCATTATGGGAAATGTAGTTTTTAATCAACGAAATTCTCCGCTTGGAGAATTGACACGAACTCCGTCAAAACTACGTTACCCACAATGCTCAGCTGAACTCATAAACAGAAACATGTCAAACAGCAGAAACGCCATCTTGACAGCACCCTCAAAATGGCAGAAAGATGAGCCCGGAGCCGAGTCCAAACCAAGGTTCTGTTCGGCTCTTTAACACCCGGCGAGCCCGTTTTTCCCGCACGCGAGGGGTTATGGGGTTGGCGTCCCGCGCGGCAGCACACAGCCTGTGAAATGGATATAAGCACGGCGGTTTTCAACGCGGCCAGAGATGGTAAGCTGAAACTTATCCAGAAGTTGTTGAGCAACAAAACTCCCGAGGAGCTGGAGGCTCTGGCGGAGGAAAAAACCCAGGGAGGCACCGCTCTGCTGATCGCCTCGCGACACGGACACTTGGAGGTCGTAGATTACCTCGTGGAGCACTGTAAAGCAAATGTTGAGCTCGGAGGCTCGGTCAACTTTGACGGCGAGACCATCGAGGGGGCTCCGCCGCTGTGGGCGGCCTCGGCGGCGGGTCACCTCCCGGTGGTGAAGTCGCTGCTGAAGCACGGCGCCTCCGTGAACAACGCCACGTTGACCAACTCCACGCCGCTGCGAGCCGCCTGCTTCGACGGCCACCTGGAGATCGTCCGCTACCTGGTGGAGCACAGAGCTGACATGGAGGTGGCTAACCGCCACGGCCACACCTGCCTCATGATCTCCTGCTACAAAGGCCACAAGGAGATCGCCAAGTTCCTCCTGGACCGTGGTGCAGACGTGAACCGTAAAAGTGTGAAAGGAAACACGGCGCTTCACGACTGCGCCGAGTCTGGGAGCCTGGACATCATGAAGATGCTGCTGAAGTGCAATGCCCGCATGGAGAGGGATGGGTACGGGATGACCCCTCTTCTGGCTGCAAGTGTAACGGGTCACACGAACATCGTGGAGTACCTCTCCCACCAGCCTCGCACCTCCAGAGAGGAGCGCATCGATGCACTGGAGCTGCTGGGGGCCACTTTTGTGGACAAGAAGCGTGACCTGTTGGGAGCAATGAAGTACTGGAGAAGAGCGATGGAGCTAAGGCAGACGGGCGACAAAACTGGATCCCTGGCCAAGCCCCCACCTGGTCCCCCGATTCCTGCCTACGGCTGTGCACAGGAGGTGAACACCGCTGAAGAGCTCGAAGCCTTGATCACAGACCCAGATGAAATGAGGATGCAGGCTTTATTGGTCCGTGAGCGCATTCTTGGGCCATCCCACCCGGACACTTCTTACTACATCCGATACCGGGGGGCTGTGTATGCTGACTCGGGCAACTTCGAACGCTGTATCAGTCTGTGGAAATATGCTTTAGAAATGCAGCAAAGCAATTTGGACCCTTTGAGTCCCATGACAGCTTCCAGTTTCCTGTCCTTTGCAGAGCTCTTTTCTTTCGTACTTCAGGACAGGGCCAAAGGCACCCTGTCGACTCACATCACTTTCCAGGATCTGATGATCGTGCTGGGGAAGAGTGTGAGGGAGGTAGAGCGAGCGGTGGCACAAAGGGACAACCCTCCTGAAGTCCCTCAGTTCACCAAGGCGCTCTCCATCATCCTCCACCTCATCTTTTTGCTGGAAAAGCTCGAGTGCAGCACCGAGCAGGAGCACCAGAAGAAGCACACGGTGTACCGGCTGCTCAAGCTCAACCCCCGAGGCCGCAGCGGCTTCACTCCCCTCCACATGGCCGTGGACAAAGAAACCACGTCTGTTGGCCGCTACCCCGTAGGCCGCTTCCCCTCGCAGGCGGTGGCGACGCTGCTCCTTGAGTGCGGCGCCGACGTGGATTCGCGCGACTGCGAAAACAACACGCCGCTGCACGTCGCTGCTCACAACGGTTGCGCGGAGATCATGGCTCTGCTGATAAAGGAGGGGGCTCACTTTGACGCGACCAACGCTCAGAGGAAGACGGCCTACGAGCTGTACGATGAGCACAGCAGCGGACACCCGACGCTCTACCCGCTGAACTACATCACCCTTCAGTGCCTGGCAGCCCGTGCCGTGGAAAAGCACAGGTTGCCGTACAGGGGACTGATCTCCGAGGAGATGGAGGCCTTCATTGAACTCCACTGAGAGACGCCATCATTTTTCCACCTGTTCATCCCTGCTCTTTTACAAATGTCCGAACCGTTCGCATCTTCTTTTCTCTCCATCCTGGCTAAACATTGTCTCCAGACCAAACCATAGCAATAAACCAGTTACTAATTTAAAATCACACGGACTTTTAAATTGATTATCGTTTTCTACTACTGTTTAAATACCGGGTGAAAATTCCACCAAATAATTTTAAGAAAGCAGTATAAGTGGGATTTATGTGGGATTTCTGCTGGAATATTATAAGATGGGTGTTAGTATTAATAAGAAGCATTTCTTCAACGTGTCCAGATGAAATGCATGAAAATGACGTGTGGTAGTTCGATTATTGGTTTGCAAACCCATTCAAAAAACTAAACTGTTTTTTTTTTTTTCACTTGTTCACATCTGCTGTGTCTCTTTAATAAGGGTTGGGATTACTGTGCCAAAACCTCACCAATACACGAAGGTTAGCGCATTCAAATGTCTGTACCGGAGGAGGCGCAACTCTATTTTCTTAATTATTCAGACTGTGATTCTCTATGCCAGCCTGCAGAACAAATACTTGAAAGACTTGGAGATGAGTGGAATAAATTGGAACTATTTAAAACAGGCTGCTACGATTGTTTTTTTTTATTTTTATTATTATTAATTCTTCCAAATCCACAAACTTTTCTAACAAATGTTCGTTTTATTCCAGTCTGGACTAAATTGGCTTTTAAAGCCAAAAAAAAAAAACACAATTAAAGGGAATGCTTTGTGCTGATCCAACACATTAACAAACTAGAGCTGATTAAATGGACGTACATTTCTTACCTTTTAAGGTTATCAGTTTTCTTTCTCTGTGAATGGTTTCAAGATCATTTTTCTCTGGGTGATCACATCCACAGCCAAGATATTCAGTTTCAAGTCAAAAGAGCAACTTCAGACGCTTTCAAAAAAAAAAAAAAAGCTTCAGTCTTCTTTCCAAAAAAATTATTTGCTCGGATTTGACACGTTGCCCGTGAGTTGATTGGAACCGTTGACCTCTCCAGTCTTTGTATTTCCACCTTTTTAGTCTTATACTTTTGTTAAAGTGTGTTCCGTTTACCTCGTGCTATGGTGAATGTTCGGTTTGTGCGTCTGTGCTAAGCACCGCCGAGTTGAACGCTCAGGCTTTCGAAGCGGCGCTGCCTTTGTAACGGTTTAATTTCACTGAGCGGAAGTTTTGTTGAATAAAAATTCACCGTTGCAACGTGTGTGTGCTCGTGTGAATGACGGCTTAAAGGGGTATAATTGTTTTTTGGGAGAAATGCCGCTCTTCTGTAGTTCTGCACATTAACGGTTGCAGGTCCATAAATGTTTTTTAGACGCATCACGTCAGAGTGAGCATTACTAAGCCGTAATCATTGACCTCGTCGTATCAGCTCTATATCGGGCTCACATTAACTCGAGAGCGTTGAAATAAAGCACAACGGAAACCTGATCTTTCTGATCCCTGATCTCTTAAAGTATAAATAGACCGCAATTAACGTCACTGCTGCTGGGCAGAGGTAGAGACGGGGCACCCACCTTGCTAATTTTAGGGGTCTTTCGTCCAAGCTTCAACTCTAGACATGTGTAATGTAATCCTGTCGGGCAGGTCACAGGATAACGATGCACGCACACGGCCCAAGATGTATTATTTTTACAGGAAGCGGGCGGTTTCAAGTGCGTAGTGTAATAATTTTAATATACACTAGTGGGACAGTGTTGGGTTTGTTGGCTGGTTTTACGCCGCCATAAGTTGAAACAGCTCATTTCAGAAAGGTGTAGACAACTTGACCTCTGACCTCTTGGTAGACCCTGAAAAACAGCTATTAGTGTGAGGTTGATACAGTGATAGAAACTCCGAGCCACAAGTGTTACATTTGAATGAATATTAAAATTGGATGCAATGTTTAAAAAAAAAAATAATTTTTAGAAGCGTTTACAAAAATGCTGCCAAGAATTTCCTGTGTGCTTTGTGTCCTCCATGAGGAAACTGAACCTCCCACTAGATGTCAGTAGCAACAAAGAAAATAACCAAACTGAAAGCCTTTGTCCTGTAAAATGCAGATAAAATGCTACAAAACTGGGCTTTTTATTTATTTTTTATTTTTTGGCCTTTGTTTGATTTTTACATTTCTTTCAGTCTTTATGTTAACAGGAGCAGAACACATGTTTTTATTTATAGCATGTAACGTCTGACTCAAAGAGGGAAGTGTGTTTGCAGTGTGCCTAAATAAATATTAAAAAAGTTGCAGATGACATTAGCAGTGGGTTGCCAGAGGGTCAAAAGTAAGGAAAAAAAAGAAATCTTGTCAGAACAACCCCCAGCTCTATTCACCCTTGTGCCGGCTAAATATCTCAAGCTGTGTGACCCAAATAAGACCAAATCTATAAATTCTGTTATTTAAATATAATAAAATGGAGCTTTTTATCTCCTTTTGTTTGCATGAAATATTTGGGTTGCATGGCAGGATTTGCAGTTGATGAAATAAATAATGACATCACATGTGTGGACACAGTCGTCCACATGGTGATTTCTTCTCCAACATTTTTTTTTTTTTTCTTTTACCCTTTATTTATCCAGGTTAGTCTCATTGAGCCACGAGAACTCATTTTCAAGAGAGACCTGTTTAGGGAGCACATGGTGGGGGTTAAGGGCCTTGCTCATGGGCCCAGAATACTTGATGATGGAGGGTTAAATGGTAACTGCTGGTGGGAAGAAAACCATTTAGGTATACATTTTCCCAATTATCTGTAATCTGGTTTTGTCCAAATTATGAAAAAAAAACTTAACTAATTGTTGCCTATTTTATGAACCACAACAAAAGATGAAGCTTATGGGGATATAAATCAGTGTGAATCTGAGTTTTAACTGTAATTTTCCATCGTCTCATCAGTGCCCCAAGAATATTATTTTTAATCATTAGATAATTTCTAACCATCTTATTTTACTTAAATGAAGTGCATGCAGTGCAATTTTTGCAAATACATGATGCATTTGTGGAACACTTTGAGTTTTGGTTCATGCAACTTTTTACAGATGTAAATTTTTATCAGACAAAAGTCTCTCTTTTTTTTTTTTAATAAATAGAAAGTCAGAGCACTTGCCATAAAACAGTCGCACTGTGACAAACTTTAGGGTTTCAGTGCTTTTGACTTCAGCTCTTCCATTCAAAACAGGAGCAGTTCCATTTTCCAGCCACAGTTCCCAGCTGCTGAGTCCTGCTCTGTGGTGTGGGATCTACTGGACTCCTCCAATTAAACACTACATTATGGCAATCTACAGGGGCTGCAAGGTGCTTATCTTCAGTTTAGGCCCGCGGGGGTGGGGGAGAAACAGGGTGGAAAAATCTGTCACCAATAAGCCCAAGCTACATCAGCAGCCCAGCACCAGTCAACCATCCCGGGAGAGCTGGAGGGGGTGCAGGGGCGGTGGGAGCTGGTAATGGGTGATGGAGGGAGAGGAGGAGAGGAGGGATACGGTTGCTACTGGAGATCTTGGCTGCATCACGTCATGTGAACAGGGAGGTGGGGAGGGGGGTGGGCTCTGGTGAGAAAGAGATAGAGAGAGAGAGGGGAGGGCTGAGAGGAAGAAGGCAGGGAAGTATCGCACCGAGCAGCAGGATTCTGAGGCCGTCCGAGAAGCGATGCTCCCCCGACCGAAGGGCTGAGGAGACCCCCCCGCTGCAGAGCTCCATCAGCCGCAGACAGTCTGGAGGAGATGCGCCCCGGAGATGTGAGGAGCATGCAGCCTCCTCTTCCTCCTCCTCCACAAAGAAGGCAGACGCTCCTCTGACTCTGCTGGATTACATCTCCCCCCAGCTCTGCGCTCGGAGGAGGCTCCAGCCGCACATCTCCCCCCCCACCCCCCCATCCTCCCCATGAATGTAGGGGCAGACTGCGAAGAACAGCGAGCACTTCTCATCGAGGTGAGCTTCACTATGTTCTTGTGCATGTGCAGCTGCACCCCACCCAGGCTGCCCAGTCTCACTGGGCAGGCTGAAGGTAATGGGAGCAGATCTCAGACTGGGCTTCCTGCACGAACGCATCCATCATGTTGTTATTTGAGTTTATCATTTGCAGGAATACCTTTTGTCTCTGAGTTGCTTCATGACATGAACGTCTTGTTTGTGGGTTTGGATGAGGTTCTGTCACCTCCTCATTGTTGGTGGAGCAGGATCCTTGCAGACTGCCTTTGTTCCTCATCCTCTCTCATTTAAAGTGCCTCGTTTAAAACACCCTTTAATTAGGCAGGGGTTTAAGAACAAATACAAATTAAAACCAAGTATATAACAGAGAACAACAAAATGACACATTTTGTTTGTAAACACTTTAATTTGTCTTGGCTGCTTTAAAAAAAAAAAGTCAAGATTCTTTGCCCTGCTGTATTTACAGAGAGGTGCCATTATGATCATGTCATTTAGGAGGCGTGCATGGACACATTATGAATGCATGTGGGCCATTAGACTAATATTAGAATGATTTATTTATTTCTTTGGTGTGAAGGGCACCAGGTGGTGAAGCGGATGGACTTATTTAGCGAGAATGTTTTTGCAGACAATAGAGTGACTGCTGCATCTGTTTCCATCAAGCGTCCGATGTGCATCTGTGTGTTGTTTGGAATTAAACTCCAGACGATTTGTTTTTAACACAGCCGCTCAGTTAATGTCATTTAACGAAACATCTATTTATCCTGATGTTATTCTTTTCCAAAGATTTCTGCTGCTTGTTTTTCCTTCTCTCTCCTTTTTTTAAAAGTTTTGCAGGTTTAAACATGTAAACTCTTAAATGCATGTTGAGTTTTTTATTATTATTGTTATTTCTGCTACGTGGCTTCTGTAAAGTGGAAAATTGCTCTGCCGTGGTGAATCCGAGGGAGGTCTTCCTCCTCGCACGCAGATGGACCGTTTTCCCCGAGGCTCTGTGTATTTGCTGGTTATTGTTCCAGACCATTTCCACATCCCTAATTATTATAATCAGTCATTTTTACGCATGGATTCCTCTCTTTAGTGCACCTCTTGATTGTTGCTGACTTATCTCCGCTCGGGCCAACAAAGGAATGGACAAGGCTCTGCACCTTCCTGAGACAAACAGAACATTTACCTTCTTCTGAAAGGGAAACAGATTCATTGAATTGGCAGATTTCTTCCGTTCGTCATTGGAAAACAATTAAATATTTGCGAACAGTTGTCTGAACGTTTACAGCCCTGTTGGAGGGTGTTATGAAATGATGGCATGGTTTGTGATGACGTTAATAGATTGTCGTGGGGTTCAACTGCAGGCCGTAGTGGGTTTTTGCTCCATCCAGACAGAAACAGCTGGAACTCCATTCAGATTTGAAATGTCTCTGCTGAAGCCGCCTTTGTTTCATGTAAAAGGCTGTACTGTATAGTCTCAGACTCACAGCAGCATTCCTCTTTATCCTGCCCTGTGTTACATTTTATATTTTGGTCCATTAGCTTTGCTTTGCACCAGTCAGCTGGCAGGAAGGAGAACATGAAGGCGAGCAACTTTGATGCTGCGAGCGTAGCCACCTGTACTACAGGCAGACAGACTCTCTGTTGTCTTGGCGTTGATATTAATTGACCTTTTCAAAGCCTTCCAAACAGCCATGTTTTGGCTGCTCTGCTTCTCGTCTTGTTTTATTCAGAGGCTGCAGAAAATAGTCCACATCCGGCATGCAGACCGGAGCAGCTTGAGCAACGCGGCTGGAATGAATTGATTTTCACGACATCATTTTCATATTGTTATTTAGACAGTTTGAACTCATTACTGTGCATGTTTTTATTAATTTGACTGCAGCAGTATTAGATGTTTGCTATAGAGGAAAAAAGGGGCTTTGATTGGTTACGGAAATAAAAGCAGGATCAATATTTGGAACAGTTCCACTTCTAAGGTGCATGTTTCTTTATTTCCTAGCTTAAGCTTAATTTAACTGTGACATTTAAAGCCGTACATAAAACCATTTTAACGTTTATCTGACGATGCCAAAATGCTGTTTAACAAACTCCCGCTGTCCAAACAAGTAATTTAGACCAGATCATGAATTGAAAGCAGGTCTGTGGTTCATGTTTAACATGCAAGAAGAGTTTTCAGAGCTGTAATTAGCAGTAAATTTCAGTGCATTTAGCATCGTTTTGATCGCATTCTGTGCGATGCTACATACATTAGTCACCTAATGAGGTATTTGCCAGAAAATACTTCTCATTGTGCTGCGTTTCTGTTTTCAGCAGTAATGGCCTGACATTAGATTACTTAAATGAGCACAATTATGTCGTAGTTTTAGTGATAATTGTGAATGAGCATCTAAAAGCGGTTTTGTTCAATAGTAGAAATTAAAAAAACATGTCATAGCAAAGCATATACATGCTGAAAGGCTAATTCTTTGAACGTGAAATACCTTTGTTTAAAGGGATTAACAATTATTATTTAACAATATGATATTACTGTGTTACTGTATCAAATTGTTCCAAAATTTTTATTGTAAATGAAGACACATTTTTTGTCAAGATGAGACACAAACAATTAACTTGTCTTGCATGATTTTGACTCATTTCAGGTGGACTAACAGCATAAAAATGCAATAATATACAAAATAAAGGGTAATATTATGGGAATACAAGAAACTAATTTATCAGAACAAATGTGACTCAAATGTATTTCTGCTACAACAGTCAACACTAGATAATACACTGCCTGGCCACAAAAAAAAAAAACTTGCCACCTGGCTTTAACTAAGCAAATGGGTACGAGCCTCCTATTGGATAATTACTAGACGATTATTTTTCAGCTGGCAACAAGTTATTTATCTCCAACTGGTGCAATGAGTTGCTTTTCATTTCTTAAACAACCAGGTCGAAAGATACATTGCGTGGTCGTGGAAAAGATGTCAGTCTGTTTGAGAAAGGTCAAATCATTGGCATCAAGCAGAGAAAACATCTAAGGAGATTGCAGAAACCACTAGAATTGGGTTAAGAACTGTCCATTGCATTATTAAAAACTGGAAGGATAGTGGGGACCCATCGTCTTCGAGGAAGAAATGTGGCAGGAAAAAAATCCTGAATGATCATGATCGGCGATCACTTAAACGTTTGGTGAAATCAAATCGAAAAAAAACCAACAGTAGCACTCAGGGCTATGTTTAATAGTGAAAGTAAGAGCATTTCCACATGCATAATGTGAAAGGAACACAAGGGATTGGGACTGAACAGCTGTGTAGCCTTAAGAAAACCACTAATCAGTGAGGCTAGCTGGGAAAAAAAGGCTTCAATTTGCTAGGGAGCATAAAGATTGGACTCTGGAGCAATGGAAGAAGGTCATGTGGTCTGATGAGTCCAGATTTACCCTGTTCCAGAGTGATGGGTGCATCAGGGTAAGAAGAGAGGCAGGTGAAGTGATGCACCCATCATGCCTAGTGTCTAGTCATCAATGCAAGAGCTTGGTGAAAAATTAATACAACACTGGATGGAAATAGATCTTGTGACATCGCAGAAGCTTATTGAAACAATGCCACAGTGAATGCATGATGTAATCAAAGCTAAAGGCGGTCCAACGAAATATTAGTGTGACCTTTGGTTTTTGGGCCAGGCAGTGTATTTTCTTGCTTTAGAAATAAGTCCCAACACCAACAGGTCAACAATTGAACTATGGAAGGACAACATTCCTGCAGTGCACATCTAAACCAATTTAAAATCCTAAACATGCCGAGGGATGAAAGCTCAAATAAAAAAAGATTAATATTAGAAAAGTGCACATGGAAGTCAGAGGTTAAAATGGAAGATTAAAATTTAAAGCACATGAAGCGAAACAAAAATGATCAAGTAAAACGGACAGAACTAAAATGCAAAGACTGGGGGGAGCCTTGTAGTGTTATTCATTTGCCTTTAATACATTTTTTTTTTTCATTCAACCTTTATTTACACAGGCTAGTTTCATTGAGCCATGGGAACTTATTTACAAGAGAGACCTGTTCCAGACAGTAGACACTGACAATAATAACCTAACTTTGATGCACAAGTAACAAGTGTTTTTTTTTCATAGTTGGTTAATAAAATGTCGACATATTCAGGAATAATTATCCAAAAACCATAAATGACATACATGGTTATAAATATTTATATAAACGCACATTAGATTAGGGGTGCGTTGGGCAGTGCAGTGGTTAGAGCTGCCTCACAGGAAGCAGGTTGCAGGAAGTCCTTCCAGCCTCTCAAAGCAGAATTTGCACGTTCTCTTCTTGTGCATGTGGGTTTTCTCCAAGTACTTTGGTTTCTTCCATCTGACCTAAACTGGACTGGACGGGGTGGGGTACACCTGTTCAGGGTGGATCCCACCAAGTCCAGACAGCTGGACATGAGCACCAGCACCCCGTGAACCAGAAACAAGATGTGGGTAAAAGACAATGGATGGACAGATAGATGATGTGTTACACACTCATTATACCCGCCAGCTTATGCAGATATGTATCAGAGTCTCAGTCAGTTTCTTAGGATCTCTTTGCAGAGTCAGACCCATAATTACCTTTTTTTTTTCCAACCATGAGGCTATCTCCAATTATGTGTGTGTTCATCTTGTCTCTGTGTGTGCATACATGAGTGAAGACTAAGAGATGGGTTGTGACTTGACTGATGCCCTTCTCCTGATGAATCACAGATTCTGATGTGTCAGCAGGGATGAATAATGCACACTGCTTGCCTCTACCCCCCCCCCCCCCATCTCTTCTCCACCTCTTGTCTTCAGCCATTTTCCTCTCTTAAAATCATACCTGCCACATCTGAAGACATCGCTTCCTTCCCCTTTCCGCTGCTCCCTTTTCTTGTCTCCGGGTTCTGCTGTTCTGCCGCCGTCTCGCTGTCCTCTGGTCAACCCAGCTCCCAACAGCTAACTCATTCTTTCCATCAAGCATCACAGAAAGTCCCTTGTTGCAAGC